GATTCACAGCGACCCTGTAGGGCAGAGTAGAACTCCCCGATAGGGTTTCCAAGGAGCAGTTGGTGGATTTGAACAGCCAATGTTGAGTGGTGCTGTGTTTAAGAGCTTGGGCTGCTAACCAAAGGTCAGCAGGTCAAATCCACTAACTGCTCTTTGGAAAACCTATAGGGCAGTTCTACTCTGCCCTATAGGGTTGCTATGAGTCAGAATGGACTTGACTGCAGTGGGTTTGGTTTGGAATTGGCTTTGCCTATAATAAAAAATCTTACAACAGTTTACTTACACTTGTTCCCTCCCATCACTGGTAAAATTGCTGCCATAGATTTTATTCCTATAGGAATTATAAATCCCACAATACGTTTCATTTTTGCTTTAAACAGTTAATTGAAAAAATGAGAAAACGTCTTTATATGATCATTTTTGATGGTCTTCTTTCCTTATGTCAAGGTTAGCCTCAAGAACTTTCTTTAATATCTCTTGTAGTATAGTTTTCTATCAGCAACAGATAGCTTCTGTTAGTCTGAATACATCTTTATGTCACTTTTATTTTTAAAAGTATTTTCACTGAATACACATATAATTCTAGGTTGTTTTTTTTTTTTTTTTGTTCTTTCAGTACTTTAAGGATGCTATTTCGTTTTCTTTTGGCTTGCATTGTTTCTGACATGATATCTAGTATATTTGTATTTTTAGGTTTGTTTGTATATCTTGTACTGGAATCATCTTAATATTTTCGCCGTATCATTAGTTTGTAGCAATTAATTTATGATGTGCTTTGTTATGGTTTACTTTGTGTTTATAATGCTTGAATTTCATTGAGCATCTTGGCTCTGTAGGTTGATAGTTTTAAGCAAATTTGGACAATTTTTGCATAGTATTTCTTCAAATATTTTTTCTGTCCCCACCATTTTTCTTTTACTCCCATTCTCCTTGACTCATATTATACATAAATTATACATATATTATAAAATGAGAAAAACCCTCAGTGAGATGGATTGACATAATGGCCTCAACAATAGACTCAAACATACCATCAGTCATGAAGATGGCACAGGACTGGGCAACATTTCTTTCCGTTATACATAAGGTCATCATGAGTTGCTAAAGACTAATGGCATAAATAAATTAGAATATTTGATACTGTCCCACATCACTGAAGTTTTGTTGTTCTTTTTTTTTCCTGTCCCTTTTTCTCTCTGTGCCTATATTTATGTACTATTCCTATGTCTTCATCATTGCTGATCTTTTCTTATTCAATGTCTAATATGCTATAAAACCCATCCAGTGAATTTTTCATTTAAGGTATTGTATTTTTCAACTGTAGAATGGCTTTTTATATATAAATATGCATATATATCTTCCATTTCTCTCCTCCTTATGTTTATATTGCTCCATAAATCCTTAAATATATTTATCTTCTCTGTCATATCTGGGTATGTTTCCATTAATTAATTTTTCTTTTGGTTTCAGGTCACGTATTTTTGCTTCTTCATGAGTCCAGTGGTTTTTGATTGGGTGCTTGAGATTGTGCTTAGAACGTTGTTGAATTTATAGATTTTGTTGTCTTTCTTTAAACAGTGTTAAATTTTGTTTTGGCAAGCCATTTAGTTACTCACATATTACCTTGATCCTTTCAAAGTATTTTTAAAAGATTTTTTATGTTTTTAATTTTTTTTAAGGTCAATATCTTAGGCCGGGTTCTCTAGAGAAGCAAAATCAGTAAAGCTTATAAATATATATAGAGAGAGATTTATATCAAGGAAACAGCTCACACAATCATAGAAGCTAGAATGTCCCTAGTCCATGGATCAGGGTAGAGGTCTCTCCCAATTCAAGCAGCCATAGAAGATGGCAAACCCAAGGTCAGCAGGTCAGAGAGAAGGGCTCCCGCTCACAGGTAAGCTGCTAGCTCAAGTCCCAAGAATCAGAGTTGAGACAACAAGAGGTAGCTGCTGGGTCTGGAACAAGCCAAAAACCTTGGTGAGGTGAGCAGGAAAGAAGTAGCTGGCAGATGGTGGAGAGATGAAGGCTGAGAGAGTAGTGAGCAGCTACAGGCCCCGCCACGGCTGGTACCACTCAGCAGATTCCATCATGGGGGTGATCACATATCAAATTCCAACACAGAAGTGGTCATAACATTATAACAACTGCCAAAACACTGAGAATCATGGCCTACAAGTTGACATACAATGTTAACCATCACAATCAGTTTTAGAATAACCTTTACCCTAGGACGAATTTAGCTTTATTCCTGTGTTGTGGTTTTTTTAAGGTCTCTACTAAGTGATCTGAATACTCAATGATATCTCTTAACCCTGAATTGTTGGAACTTGAATATCTCCCAGTCCTATGAAGCTTTAGGAATTATTCAGTTTACAGATATCCAGTCGTTTCTCTTTGCTAGACTTCATGGAGTATCGCTCTATGCATGCATGGCTTGATATTTAGCAAAAGGCTCAAGGGGACTCCTATGCAGACTTCTGGAGCTTTTTCTCTGCAAATTTTCCACCTCTATGCCACTTTGCCCTGCAAATTCTGGCTGCCTCAGCCTTTCCAAACTCTGATCTTTAGCTACCCAACTCTACAAAATCATCACACTCTGCCTGGGTTCTCCCTCCTTGACATGTAGTCCATAAAGTGCCTCTAGGAAGAAAACAGGGCAATCATAGAACTCACTATTCTGTTGCTTTCTCTATATTATCACAATCCTGGGCTTCCTGTTGTCCAATTACATGTATATGTTGTTTCATATTATTCAGTTTTCTAGTTGTTTATACCCATTACCCATTACCGTCGAGTTGATTCTGACTCACAGTGACCTTATAGGACAGAGTAGAACTGCTGCACCATAGGTTTTCCAAAGCTGTAATATTTACAGAAGCAAACTGCTACATCTTTCTCCCACGAAGCGACTGGTGGGTTTGAGCCACGGACCTTTCAGTTAGCAACCGAACACTTAACCACTGCACCACCAAGTTTCCTCTAGTTGCTTGTGGAGGAGAGAAAGTCCAATACCAAACCAAATCAAACCCATTGCTGTCGAGTTGCTTCTGACTCATAGCAACCCTATAGGACAAAGTAAAACTGCCCCATAGGGTTTCCAAGGAGTGGCTGATGGATTCGAACAGCCTACTTTTTTGTTAACAGCCAAACACTTAACCACTGTGCCATCATGACCTGGAACAATACCTTCATTATGGCCAGTGGTGAAAGTCCCCCATTGAATAACTTTTGAAATTTGTTTAGATTTGAACAAAGAAGCGTTAATTTGTTTAATATAGAAAGAACTCTACTAGGTTCCTCAAAGTCTACTAGGATTCTCTAAGTCCCCCTTTTCATACAGAAACTAGTACTTTGAAAAGTCCTTCAACTTAATATCTGGCTATCTGGTTTCAGTAGCTTCTATCTCAATGTATCATAAAAATGTATGCTAACTCCCATTAGTTTGTATTTTAAGCCATAAATTTACATGACATTGTAATACAGTACATGTCTGTGTGTTTATTAGATAGGATAAACTAGGCTTATATTACGGGGAAAAAATGCCCTAAATCCAGTGGCTTATATTCCAAGTTTAGTTCTCACTCAAGCAAAATTTGTTAGAGGTCAGAAGAACCCACAGGGGCTGCGGTTCATGCACTGATTCAGTGATCCAGGCTGCTAGATCTTGGTAGTTCTGCAAACTCCATATGTGGTTTCCATGACCAGTGCTAAATGGTGAGCTAGGATGTATTGAAGGGTTTTTCCTTATCTCAGTTTAGAAGTGAAACATGTCATTTCCACTCAGCCTTTGGCAGAGATAGTCACTTGGCTTGGTCCAGGTCCAGTGGAGCTAGGCAATGCAGTCTCTGGTGTTCTCAGTAAGGGGGAACTCAATATTGATGATGACTAATGATGTCTACCACAGTGCACATCTGTCCCTTGAAACTATGCCTCTCTCCACTACTGAATAGGGCAACCCAGACCATATTACGTATCTGTAATCCCTCCAACTGCTCAAAGGGCTTGCATACCCATTATCTTAATATGCCTCTAAATCAATCTATGAGCTATTCAGGGAAGGTGTTATTTTTTATTTCCATTTTCCATTTAGGGAGCTGAGTTACATTGGGGTTAGGCCATTTTCTCAGTGATCATCTTGTTTTTTCCTGTAATGTCCTAGCGTTAAAACATAAAACCCTATTCCCTGACGATATGCTTTCCAGGGAAGTGCCGTACTTGTAGGAGGAATTTAATAAATGCTTCCATGGATCACATTTCCCACCCAGAAGCCTGGGTTCTCCACTCTGTGCCCTCATCTAATGGCTGTGGTCCTTTTGCTTCTCACCCAAGTGCATGGCGTGGCAATGTCCTGGAGGGGACTCTAGCCTCAGAGGGAAATGCCTTTTTTCTCCAGTTCTCAATGAAGGCAAGAGGAAGTACAAAAGAGGAAAATAGTAGACACTGTGCCCAAGGTGGCAGTTTTCCAGGGGATGGTAACAATTACAGCTGATGACTGAAGTTTTTCCAAGGCTAGATTCTTTTAGAAAAAAAGGTTAGTCTAAAACACGAATGCCATCCTTTCAATGGGTCCATGGCATGGCACCATCATATCCAAAGCTATGTTAGGAGCCTCAAGAGCTAAGCAGTGCCCCACCCACCCCCAATATCCCAAACAGTGCTGTCCAAGGCAGACCTTCAGACTACGGAATCCAGTTTTCAGCAGGCCAGGAAGTTGACATGTTATGGTGTTTAGGCCAAATGAATAATAAGACCTATTTGCAAACAATATAGAAAAGCTGAATTGAGTTAATTTAGCTTTATTGAGCTGAAACACTGAATTAAAAAGCAATTTAAATGGCTTACTCTTTTAGAAAAAAATCAATGGCTTAAAATTAATTTTATTTTTTAAACTCACTGTTAACTCAGTAAAGCCTTTTGGGCTTTTTAAGCTAATTGTCTCTGAACTCATTTTAAATTCAAGAGTCTTTATACTTTTGATAATATTTTAAACACTACCCTCACTACAGCAGTTCATATTATAAACTTAGAAAGATATAGAAAAGCTAACAAGGCCCCAGTGCAAGGATGATACCCATATTTTTGAACCATTCCTTATTACTTTTATATAACAGTAGGGGTTATATTATCTCATTTTGTTTAAGAAAACCATATATATGTATATGTCTATATGTATAGAGTAAAAATTTATATATTCATGATAAATTTGAAAAACTCTACATTAAAATGTTGACAGTCATTATCTCTAGGAGATAAACAATGTGAGGCTTTCTATAATTTTTACAATTTTATTTTAACTTGATTACTTACGGCAGTTTGTTTTATTTTTATAATTAATAAAAAAAATTCCATTTTGAAAGCAAGTAATATAAAATATTTTAAAACCTTGAATCAAACTAATTTGTCTGAATGCAGTCAAGTCTATTTGGCCTTTGTGTGAACTAGGCTTCAGGTGCCTTCTTAGCACTTGCTAATTCTGGTCCCAGGAGGATCTAGATGCAGTCATTTGTGTTATCTCAGATTCAAGTAAACTAGCAAAGTCAACTGAAGTTGACTTAAAAGACTGAGTGATTCCCAGACCAAAGTTAGAAAGCCAGGCCTGGAAACACCAATTAAGGCTTTGGAGATACCTATGAGAGCTGGAACTCGACCAAATGCCTTCTTTTTCCAGGTCTTGCAAGTTTTCTGCCTTTGACAAGGTGCAGGCTGACCACTTTTCTATTGCTCATTTCTGTGGAAAATATTTGAATTTTCCTTCTCTGACAGGTTTCCACCTCACACAGTTTCCGGCTTTTGCAGGTTTTGAGCAGTGTTATTCGTATTGCTACAGTAATGGAAGGATTCCTTGGGTGGTGTACATGGTTAAGTGTTGGACTATTAACTGAAAGGTTGTTGGTTTAAATTCACCCAGAGGTGCCTTGGTGATCTGCTTCTGAAAGATGACAGCCTGGAAACCCTATGGAGCAGCTCTTCTGCACACATGGGGTGGCCATGAGTTGGAATTGACTTGATGGCAATTAACAACAACAGAATAATGTTAGAGTCCTTGGCTGGTGTAAACAGTTAATGTGCTCTACCGCTAACCAATATGTTGAAGGTTCGAGTATACCCAGAGGCACCTCAGAAGACAGGCCTGACGATCTACTTCTGGAACATCAGTCATTGGAAACCCTATGGAGCACAGTTCTACTCTGACACACATGGGGTCACCATCAGTCAAAATCAACTCGATGGCAAGTGGTTGATTAGACTAATGCTACGAAAGCAGAAGGAGCAATATATGGAGAGTTAACAAAAGAGGATTACATGAGTACTGATTTGGCCATGGGTATATAGTGTTTCCTGGGAGTAGATGACTGAGCATCCACTGCTAATGTGCTGTCACCCAGCAGGTATATTCCTTGAGTTGAGATAAGCTTAATTCCACTGGTCATAAATGCCTTTCAACCGATTCCCTTTGCTCTGAATTTAGGATTACAAATCACTTTCTATTTTATATCTAACTGAAAAAAGAAATACTGGCTCTCTGTAGAAAAGGTGGAACTGCACTGTTGTTGTTAGGTGCCATCAAGTCGATTCTGACCCTATGTACAACGGAATGAAACACTTCCCGGTCCTGCACCATGCTTGTAATCGTTATGCTTGCAGCCACTGTGTCAATCCATCTCATGGAGGGTCTTCCTCTTCTTCGATGACCCCCTGTATTACCAAGCATGATGTCCTTTTCCAGGAACTGATCCCTCCTGATAACATGTCCAAAGTATGTGAGATGTACAAATCACAAAAATACAAACACTGAAACGTAACTGATAATATTTTGGTATTATACTTCTATATGTAAATACATGTGAATTATATTTTTATACCTACATGGCATAGTGGTTAAGAGCTCAGCTGCTAACCAAAAGGTGAGCAGTTCGAATCCATCAGCTGCTCCTTGGAAACCCTAGGGGACAGTTCTACTTTGTCCTACAAGGTCACTATGAGTTGGAATTGACTTGACGGCAATGGGTACACGGGATTAAAGCATATATACTCGGAGTTACTTATGCTTCTATGTAACAATATATTATGACCATTTTCCATGCCATTAGTCTTCAGCAACAATAACATTTTAGAAAATTTGATACTAGTCTGTAAGTATGTAAATATTTATTCTTCATTTTTAAAATTTTAATAGAAACACATGTTCACTGGGAACAATACAGAGGTTGCTTAAAGTAAAAGTATTCTTTTCTCAGTCACTTTACACTTGTTTTCTCTAGATGAAAACATTTTTAAAACTTTAATGTACATTTTTTTTGACCTTTTACTATTTATGTACAAATTCAAACAATACAAAAGTATACAATCGAAAGAAAAAGTTTACCTTGTCTCTTCCCTGTTCCATTCTTCTTTAAAAAAAAAAAAAAAACTTTAGATTTTTAATTCTTCTATTGGTTATAGGGTTGCCATGAGTGGGAATTGACTCGATGGCAATGAGTTGTTTTTGTTTTTTTTTTGTTATTGGTAACCTAGATAGAATTCACCAACTTAAAATAGCATTTGTTGATTTGTTTATATATGAGAAATTTATGTTACATGTATACACATATATATGTGTATATATGTACTTATATATGTGTGTATATCTATCTGTATATGTGTATATATGTGTGTGTGCATATATATATATAACTGGACCCATAAACATAGAATTACACAGCCTGTTTCTGTTGCAGCTCTTGCTCCTTTGCCTTTCTCCCTTAGGCCTAGGGCCAGTAACAGATTAGGGAAATGAATTCAATTTCTGTTGCATGACATCTGCACATATGTACCCAAATTCTAGCTCATTTAATGACCTAACTCTTTCTCTTAGAGCAGACATAGACTTTAGGCTCACAGACAGTTAACTGTGCATCCCAATTTAGAGAAAACCACCACAAAAAGGAAAAGGCAGGGATGGGAAAGTGTGGTCAAGGTTCCTGATTTATCTTCTTCCACTGTCTTCAATTCATTTAGGACTCGGGCCTGGCTTCTTATAGTCTATGGGCACAAAGCCCATGAAGGCTTTAAGGCTATGACTAAAGACGGTATTTATCTCTTCTTTGGACACATTCATGAGCAAGAAGAAAGATGACATCAGAAGATCTGTCACCAGATACTCTTCAATATTCCAAAAATTAATAACTATTTCCAAAGGGGAAGCGTTTCCAAGCAAAGAGCTGGGATTTTCTGGAAGCAGTTTTTCAAAGATGCATTATCTCAACGGGGCTCATCTGTCAGCCTCAGATCACACAGGGTGACAGACCTTTTAGACAGATGGAGTTTCCAAGACTATTGCTAGTTCCGGGCAAGAAGGCAGGGAGGATTTGAGGAAATAGCAACTGCTGTGACTGAGAAAGACCTGTCTTGCTCACCCTTTGCCATTTAAAAATAATTCTCATGTCTGCACAGCATTTTTCAAATCAACCTCAAATTCATCCTTGGGGGCATTATGTATGATTTACACATCAGTCAGATCTAACTCACCCATTCTTTAGCCAATAAAAGCAAGATTAAGACATTTATAGGTTATGCTGCTTGTTTAGTTAATCAACAATGCTTCCTTATAGTGCCCAACTACCATTACTGAATATTTTGATCAAAGATTCTATAGAAGAATCCTAATCAAAAGGGGGAAAATGCAGGCTGGACAGAATTTCAATTTCTCATGGGCTCCAGACTTCCTGAAGCTATGAAGATTGAATGAACCCCTGTGTGTGGCAGGGTTGTTTCCTTTCACCATACTTATTCAATCTGTATGCTGAGCAAATGATCCAAGAAGCTGGACTATATGAAGAAGAACATGGCATCAAGATCGGAAGAAGACTCAATAACAACCCACCATATGCAGAGACATAACCTTGCTTGCTGGAAGCAAAGAGAACTTGAAGCACTTACTGATGAAGATCAAAGACAATAGCCTTCAGTACGGATTGCATCTCAACATAAAGAAAACAAAAACCCTCACAACTGGACCAATAAGCAACATCATGATAAATGGAGAAAATTATTGAAATTGCCAAAATTTCATTTCATTTGGTTCCACAATCAATGCCCATGGAAGCAGCAGTCAAGAAATCAAACAACATATTGCATTAGGCAAATCTGCTGCAAGAGATCTCTTTGAAGTGTTGAAAATCAAAGATGTTAGTTTGAGGACTAAGATGACTGTCTTAGTTATCTAGTGCTGCTACAACAGAAATACCACAAGCTGATGGCTTTAACAAAGAGAAATTTATTTCTTCACAGTAAAGTAGGCTAAAAGTCCAAATTCAGGGCCTCAGCTCCAGGGAAAGCCTTTCTCTCTCTGTTGGCCTTCTTCTCATCTGTGTTCCCCTGGACTAGGAGCTTCTCTGCCCAGGGACCCCAGGTCCAAAGGACACGCTCTTCTCCCACCACTGCTTTCTTGGTGATATGAGGTCCCCCCGTCTCTCTGCTCACTTCTCTCTTTCATATCTCAAGAGATTGCCTCAGGACACAATCCAATCTTGTAGAATGAGTCCTGTCTTACTAAGACAACTGCCACCCATCCTCCCTCATTAACATCATAGAGGTAAGATTTACAACATATACGAAAATCATGCAATACCAGGAATCATGGCCTAGCCAAATTGATACACACATTTTTGGGGGGACATAATTCAATCATGACAGTGACCTTGACCTGATCATGGTATTTTCAATCATCATATATGCATGTGAAAACTAGACAATGAATAAGGAAGACTGGAGAAGAATTAATGCCCTTGAATTACAGTGTTGGTGAAGAATATTGAATATACACCATGGACTGCCAGGAGAACGAACAAATCTGTCTTTGAAGAAGTACAGCCAGAATGTTCCTTAACAGCAAGGATGGTGAGACTTTGTCCCACATTCTTTGGACATGTTATCAGGAGGGAACAGACCCCGGAGAAGGACATCATGCTTATAAAGTAGAGAGTCAGCAAAAAAGAGGAAGACCCTCAATGAGATGGATTGATACAGTGGCTGCAGCAGTGGGCTCAAGCATAACGATTGTGAGGATGGCTTAGGACCAGGCAGTGTTGTATTCTGTTGTACATAGTGTCACTATGAG